TCAAGCTAATGCAAAACGATAGATATAATGCTTAGCCTGAAGCTAATGCCAATAGGAAATTAAGAATGCTTAAATCAAAACTAATGCCAAAAGGAAATAAGAATGCTTATCACAAGCTAATTTCATAAGGAGAGGAAGAGTGCTTAGCTCGAAGTTAATGCCAAAAGGAAAGTAAGAATGCATACCATAAGCTAATTCCATAAGGAGAGGAACAATGCTTAGCTCAAATCGAATGCCAATAGGAAAGTAATAATGCTTAGCTCGAAGCTAATACCAAAAGGAAAGTAAGAATGCTAATCTAAAAGCTAATGTCAAACGGAAAGTAAGAATGCTTAGCACAAGCTAATTCCATAAGAAGAGGAATAATGCTTGGAGAGGAACAATGCTTAGCTCGAAGCTAATTCCAAAAGGAAAGTAAGAGTCCTTTGCTAAAAGCTAATGCCAAAAGGAAAGTGAGAATGCTTAGCACAAGTTTATGGCATAAGAAGATGAACAACGCTTAGCTCAAAGCTAATGCCAAAAGGAAAGTAATAATGCTTAGCTCGTAACTAATGGCAAAAGGAAAGTAAGAATGCTTAGCCCGAAGCTAATGCCAAACGGAAAGTAAGAATGCTTAGAACAATCTAATTCCATAAAAAAATAAATTAAAATTAAAATTGAAATAAAAATAAAAAAAGATTAAAATAAATTTATAAAATCAATAAATATATAAATAAATAAGAAAAAAAAAGTTAATTCCATTAGAAATGGTATAATACTTGGCTCGAAGCTCATGCGAAAACGAAAGTAAGAATGCTTAGCACAAGCTAATTCCATAAGGAGAGGAACAATGCTTAGCTCGAAGCTAATGCCAAAAGGAAAGTGAGAATGCGTAGCTCGAAGCTAATGTGATACGAACTACGTCAACATGTGACGAAACCCGGTATCAATACTTCGGATTTCAAATCCTGGACCGTCCAAAGAAGGATTCAGTTGGGTGGAACCTCGACCCATTGCCTATAAAGAGGCAAGAAACTTGGTATGCGAAGACGCCACAATCAATTGCGGAAGATTGATTGATAAGTCGGAGGCGAACGCCACGGAGAACAACTCCGATAAGTTCATTTAAAAATAATGGTTCTTGAAGAACCGAAGAGACACACTCTTATTCAAAATGATTTCAATACATTGTTGTCTTTTTTATTCATACAAGCTGATCCCTTTATATAGGGTTCAATGCTATCTAATCTATGGAAAGAAACTAAGAACAATAAATTATTATCTATCAGCCACAAATCAGCCAATCTAATTAACATTTATTGAATCTAAATTAAGAAAGCTTTTAAAATCATGGTCTTGATCTTCCAAGGCTGAAATGCACTAATAAAGAGCCTTCCAAACTCCTAAAAACATGTGCATGTCTTATTGTGTAAATCTTGGACCTTCAAAAGCCTTAAAATATGTGATTGCATCAATTAGAACAATCCAAGATTGATATCTTTGTGGTTAAAGCCTCTCAAATCTGATCTGGACCAATTTGAAATCTGAATCGAAAACCTTTGAAATCGGTGATTGCTTGATGTGATTTGGATCACATCATACTCCCTTTCTTCAAAAGAATTCGTCCTCGAATTCGGTTCCTTGGAATGAGCGCGTATGATTGGAAACGAATCCATGAGGCTGAAAGGTGTTGGTAGAAATTGGTACCTCCTTTATTTTTGTTTTTTTTTTTTTTTTTTTTTTTTTTTTTTTGGACAATGGACTCTAGAAGAACAAAGATAGATAAGAAGTACAAGAACTTGGATGACTCAAGAACGTAGAAGAAGAAAATGTATGAAAGACTCGAACAAAAAAAGAAAACAAAGGAAAAAAAAAAAAGACTCAAAGGGATAGGCGAAACCTTCTCCGGAAGTTGGCTCTGATACCAAATGATACGAACTACGTCAACATGTGACGAAACCCGGTATCAATACTTCGGATTTCAAATCCTGGACCGTCCAAAGAAGGATTCAGTTGGGTGGAACCTCGACCCATTGCCTATAAAGAGGCAAGAAACTTGGTATGCGAAGACGCCACAATCAATTGCGGAAGATTGATTGATAAGTCGGAGGCGAACGCCACGGAGAACAACTCCGATAAGTTCATTTAAAAATAATGGTTCTTGAAGAACCGAAGAGACACACTCTTATTCAAAAATGATTTCAATACATTGTTGTCTTTTTTATTCATACAAGCTGATCCCTTTATATAAGGTTCAATGCTATCTAATCTATGGAAAGAAACTAAGAACAATAAATTATTATCTATCTAATCAAATCAGCCAATCTAATTAACATTTATTGAATCTAAATTAAGAAAGCTTTTAAAATCATGGTCTTGATCTTCCAAGGCTGAAATGCACTAATAAAGAGCCTTCCAAACTCCTAAAAACATGTGCATGTCTTATTGTGTAAATCTTGGACCTTCAAAAGCCTTAAAATATGTGATTGCATCAATTAGAACAATCCAAGATTGATATCTTTGTGGTTAAAGCCTCTCAAATCTGATCTGGACCAATTTGAAATCTGAATCGAAAACCTTTGAAATCGGTGATTGCTTGATGTGATTTGGATCACATCAGTTTTTGTGCACAATTCTTGATGCGCATTCATGTCCTCGAACGGTAGTACGTATTTTCATGATCGCTTTTGGAATCCAATTTTGAGCATGTTCGAGTCCGAATTTGGAATTTAGCCATTAGACAGGAATTGTAGCCAGCTGAAATAGCTTTCCAATGCCGACGGAACCAGTTGATTTGGAGTACGTATGAGAAAGTTATGCTCGACTTCGTGGACACTACCAAAGATGTTCGGGGATTCTCTCTTCTAATTTGATTTTATTTTCCTAATTGCATCTCTTTTCTTACTCTTTGATCATTTTTGCTTCATGGACACCTAATTTTCGACTTGTACCTATAACATACCAAATCCACCAATTAATATAGAAATATAAATTAATCCGAAAAAAATCCACCTAAACGTAAACGTAGAGTTTTATTTCTACACTCCACTGTATCTTTTTTATCTAGTGTTTTTGCTGTTGTTTGTTGATGCGTATTAAAGTCCGAGTATTGTAGTTTGTGTTTTTAAGAACGTTGTTGCGAATGCACTTTTGCGCATGTTTTTTTACATGTACGTTTGTGCATGTCCATTTGAGCGAATGTGCTTATGCATGTTTGTTGATTTGTATTAATGTCCTAGGATTGTAGTTTGTGTTTTCATGATCCTTTTTGCGAATCCACTTTTGCGCGAGTACTTTTGTGCATGCTTTTATACTTTTACTTATGTGCGTAACTCTTCTAGCGAGTGTTTTTGTGCACAATTCTTGATGCGCATTCATGTCCTCGAACGGTAGTACGTATTTTCATGATCGCTTTTGGTATCCAATTTTGAGCATGTTCGAGTCCGAATTTGGAATTTAGCCATTAGACAGGAATTGTAGCCAGCTGAAATAGCTTTCCAATGCCGCCGGAACCAGTTGATTTGGAGTACGTATGAGAAAGTTATGCTCGACTTCGTGGACACTAGCAAAGATGTTCGGGGATTCTCTCTTCTAATTTGATTTTATTTTCCTAATTGCAACTGTTTTCTTACTCTTTGATCATTTTTGCTTCATGGACAATTAATTTTCGACTTGTACCTATAAGATAACAAATCCACCAATTAATATTGAAATATAAATTAATCCGAAAAAAATCCACCTAAACGTAAACGTAGAGTTTTATTTCTACACTCCACTGTATCTTTTTTATCTAGAAATTTTGCTGTTGTTTGTTGATGCGTATTAAAGTCCGAGTATTGTAGTTTGTGTTTTTAAGAACGTTGTTGCGAATGCACTTTTGCGCATGTTTTTTTACATGTACGTTTGTGCATGTCCATTTGAGGGAGTGTGCTCATGCATGTATGTTGATTTGTATTAATGTCCTGGGATTGTAGTTTGTGTTTTCATGATCCTTTTTGCGAATCCACTTATGCGCGAGTACATTTGTGCATGCTTTTGTACTTTTACTTATGTGCGTAACTCTTCTAGCGAGTGTTTTTGTTCACAATTCTTGATGCGCATTCATGTCCTCGAACGGTAGTACGTATTTTCATGATCGCTTTTGGAATCCAATTTTGAGGATGTTCGAGTCCGAATTTGGAATTTTACCATCAGACAGGAATTGTAGCCAGCTGAAATAGCTATCCAATGCCGCCGGAACCAGTTGATTTGGAGTACGTATGAGAAAGTTATGCTCGACTTCGTGGACACTAGCAAAGATGTTCGGGGATTCTCTCTTCTAATTTGATTTTATTTTCCTAATTGCAACTCTTTTCTTACTCTTTGATCATTTTTGCTTCCTGGACACCTAATTTTTGACTTGTACCTATAAGATACCAAATCCACCAATTAATATAGAAATATAAATTAATCCGAAAAAAATCCACCTAAACGTAAACGTAGAGTTTTATTTCTACACTCCACTGTATCTTTTTTATCTAGTGTTTTTGCTGTTGTTTGTTGATGCGTATTAAAGTCCGAGTATTGTAGTTCGTGTTTTAAAGAACGTTGTTGCGATTGCACTTTTGCGCATGTTTTTTTACATGTACGTTTGTGCATGTCCATTTGAGCGAGTGTGCTTATGCATGTTTGTTGATTTGTATTAATATCCTAGGATTGTAGTTTGTGTTTTCATGATCCTTTTTGCGAATCCACTTTTGCGCGAGTTCTTTTGTGCATGCTTTTATACTTTTACTTAATTGCGTAACTCTTCTAGCGAGTGTTTTTGTGCACAATTCTTGATGCGCATTCATGTCCTCGAACGGTAGTACGTATTTTCATGATCGCTTTTGGAATCCAATTTTGAGCATGTTCGAGTCCGAATTTGGAATTTAGCCATTAGACAGGAATTTTTTTTTTTTTTTTTTTTTTTAGATAAACTTTTCCAATGATCCTTTAATACTAGTAATGCAGTTGAAAATTGAAATTACTCAAATTGAAATTTACCATATCAAGCTGTCCCTATGAACATTAAAGAAATAATCATCCGAAGGACGTTCCAACTCAAGGGATTCGATTTCTTGTGTACGCACATTGTAGAGAACGCAAACCGGAGGTGAAAAAATCCGCAAGGCCAACATTTTCTCGTTCAACCAACCAATTGGTGAGACGCATTTCCATACCAAATTTACGAATTTACCCTTTAGAGGTTCCAAGTCAATCTTGAGCATCCTAGTCCATTCTCCCGTTTCTGGTTTCATCTTCAAAACCTCCCACGAAAACTCAACGCACTCAACGAGCAACGTCAGACAACTCCCCATTGACAAATAATACTTGAATCTCTTTTCATAACCCTGAGGGATACGAGTCTCCGTAACAATTTCAGTCTCTACGTTCAGATTCGCAATGCAAGTGCCTTCGCTGCGAGTCCAGTGAATAAAACGTTGAGTACTCAAACAACGATCGATATCCAAGTGTTTGGTATCGACACGCCTCCACGACTTATCGACTCCCACAGTTAGCATAACACAGCTCTCTATTCCTGTAGGCTCGAACTTCCAAAAACCCATGACGACCACTTTATACTTATTCGAAGCCTCGGCGTACGCTATCATGGGATCATAAGCAATGTCGAATTCAGGAGAAATCGAAGGGAGATCAAAGCTTTCAAATCTTACGGGATTCACAATAGAAAGATTGTAACGGTCCTCGGTTTCCAAACACTCCAGTATCAAACCATTACAACTACCTAAAACTCTTCCCATGGTATCGTAACTGAATTCCGATTCCTCAACCGAGCCTCGTCCCATTGGCAGAAATCGTTTAATATTTAACTGGTGAAAACCGTAATCGCGATCGTCACCGTGGTCAATTAACTGCGCGAGAAGTACAGGAGCTGAATGCTGAAGGTGTTTGTGTACGAAGTTACAGCTATGGATCGCATTGTGCCATTTCTTGCAAACAAGAATTGCCGTCTTGTAAATATCTTCGGCCGGGAGACGTAGAAGAATCTCGAACACCAAATCTTCGGGAAGAGACCCTATATTTGTTGAAGTCTTCTTCCTCTTGCTTCCCCAAAACATCTTTGAATTTCTTCCTTATATCAGAGTAAGAACAATGTTCAACTTTGGGTCCATCACCGGCGGCTGAGGGAGGAGGAGGGCGGAGGCGGTGGCCGACTGACGACAGCCATTAGACAGGAATTGTAGCCAGCTGAAATAGCTTTACAATGCCGCCGGAACCAGTTGATTTGGAGTACGTATGAGAAAGTTATGCTCAACTTCGTGGACACTAGCAAAGAGGTTCGGGGATTCTCTCTTCTAATTTGATTTTATTTTCCTAATTGCAACTCTTTTCTTACTCTTTGATCATTTTTGCTTCCTGGACACCTAATTTTTGACTTGTACCTATAAGATACCAAATCCACCAATTAATATAGAAATATAAATTAATCCGAAAACAATCCACCTAAACGTAAACTTAGAGTTTTATTTCTACACTCCACTGTATCTTTTTTATCTAGTGTTTTTGCTGTTGTTTGTTGATGCGTATTAAAGTCCGAGTATTGTTGTTTGTGTTTTAAAGAACGTTGTTGCGAATGCACTTTTGCGCATGTTTTTTTACATGTACGTTTGTGCATGTCCATTTGAGCGAGTGTGCTTATGCATGTTTGTTGATTTGTCTTAATGTCCTAGGATTGTAGTTTGTGTTTTCATGATCCTTATTGCTAATCCACTTTTGCGTGAGTACTTTTGTGCATGCTTTTGTACTTTTACTTATGTGCGTAACTCTTCTATCGAGTGTTTTTGTGCACGTTTCTTGATGCGCATTCATGTCCTCGAACGGTAGTACGTATTTTCATGATCGCTTTTGGAATCCAATTTTGACCATGTTCGAGTCCGAATTTGGAATTTTGCCATTAGAAGGAATTGTGGCCAGCTGAAATAGCTTTCTAATGCCGCCGGAACCAGGTTATTTGGAGTACGTATGAGAAAGTTATGCTCGACTTCGTGGACACTACCAAAGATGTTCGGGGATTCTCTCTTCTAATTTGATTTTATTTTCCTAATTGCAACTCTTTTCTTACTCTTTGATCATTTTTGCTTCCTGGACACCTAATTTTCGACTTGTACCTATAAGATACCAAATCCAACAGTTAATGTAGAAATATAAATTAATCCGAAAAAAATCCACCTAAACGTAAACGTAGAGTTTTAATTCTACACTCCACTGTATCTTTTTTATCTAGTCTTTTTGCTGTTGTTTGTTGATGCGTATTAAAGTTCGAGTATTGTTGTTTGTGTTTTAAAGAACGTTGTTGCGAATGCACTTTTGCGCATGTTTTTTTACATGTACGTTTGTGCATGTCCATTTGAGCGAGTGTGCTTATGCATGTTTGTTGATTTGTCTTAATGTCCTAGGATTGTAGTTTGTGTTTTCATGATCCTTTTTGCGAATCCACTTTTGCGCGAGTACTTTTGTGCATGCTTCTGTACTTTTACTTATGTGCGTAACTCTTGTAGCGAGTGTTTTTGTGCACAATTCTTGATGCGCATTCATGTCCTCGAACGGTAGTACGTATTTTCATGATCGCTTTTGGAATCCAATTTTTACCATGTTCGAGTCCGAATTTGGAATTTTGCCATTAGACAGGAATTGTAGCCAGCTGAAATAGCTTTCCAATGCCGCCGGAACCAGTTGATTTGGAGTACGTATGAGAAAGTTATGCTCGACTTCGTGGACACTACCAAAGATGTTCGGGGATTCTCTCTTCTAATTGGATTTTATTTTCCTAATGGCAACTCTTTTCTTACTCTTTGATCATTTTTGCTTCCTGGACACCTAATTTTCGACTGGTACCTATAAGATACCAAATCCACCAA